TGAAGATCTGACAAGTTATAGCGATAGGTCACGTCAGGGGTCAAAAGACCGACTTATGACCCTATGACGTCAGACATTTGATTAACCAATCGGCATTGATGTTACTAGTGGATTACCCACAGTTCCGTGAAAAACACGCCTAAAGCTCGCCGAAACAGACCGTTTCATTGGCTTATCCCTGACACCATTCAAAACACGAGTTAAATAACAACTCTTCCAGATCCAAGTGTCGTAAAGACAAGTAAAACGAAATTTTGAACTATAAAAACGAAATGAAATAGGATCTGTGTTTTAACCAGATTGTGAAAAATACTTTAAGCTAAAACTGTCATCTCAGCATGCATACATGTGTTTAATGGATAATATATGTTCGTTATTGGTAACTTTCAGGTTTGTGTACAACAGATTTCTGTAAAAATGGCGGAAAATGTGTTGGTCCGACATTGTGTCAGTGTTCTAATGGTTTCTTTGGGAGAACGTGTGAAATAACAGGTAACCAAAATTATTATATGTCTAAATAATTCCACGCCGGCTTATCCTAGCTGTGGGATTAATAAGAATCAATAGTAATTAAATCTCGCTACATGCCAGAAATGGTGGGTCCAAGAAGCGATCTGTTGTGTTCAGTATAAAAGCATTTAAACGAAAAAATAACGATATACTTATTAAAATCTGTCAATTTGTTGGGCGCTAATCATTCGGGATGTTTAAAATGTTCGACTTTTCTGCTACACCGAAAACGTACCCCATGCAAATATTTCTGAATCCGCGCTTGGTTATGCCAATCTTTTTTGTTATCAGCCTTATAACACATTAACTGATACTACTGAACAAAGGCGGTTCATGAAAGTAAAAAGGCTTATATACGAATTTTTTATCCACTACCTCTGTATAAAGAACCATGATATAATTAGTTCATTTTTTTTCCAGAATCAAAGATAACCACTGCTGTACGTTACTTTACTTATTTAAAGATTACAGAAACCATGATCGAAACCACAGCATACGATATTCACTATTCTGGAAAGGTGGAACTACAGACAGAATCATCAACGACCATACTGAAACTTCAACCTGGAAGTTATCTGACGGTTCCAACAAAAGATAAATGCTTTGAGAATCTTGCGGCCTGCTATTCCGGATTCACATATGCAGTTGGTATTAGTTTTGAGAGTATACCGACAACAGATTTTTATATACTGAAAGGCGGAGATCGCAACACTGGTTCTGGTATAGAACTGGCGTATTCCAATGAACGTTTGATCTGTACAATATCTGCGTCAACGTCAATTTGGCAAATTTCGGTACCGATTTGAAGTATCGTGGAGTGAATCTCTTGGACTGACTTTACTTCAAGATGGTAAAGTTATTGGTAACGTCTTGCAGCCCGTATCAAATAAACTATCTAATTCATCAAGCCAAATGGAAATCAAGATAGGTTTGGGTATACAAAACATCTACAAAGTAGCTGCTATGAGAATGGTGCCGGTGATTTATAGCGAATCAATTCGAGCTGGAATAACCGAAGGTATAAATAATCTGGGGTAATTTTAGAAAATTAAAAGCAACGCATTTTTAAATGTAGAATTGGCGATGTTAGTATACAATTTAACTTTCACAATCTATACTGAGATGGGATTTTTATACTTACACCCATTAGAGGAAAGGGCCTCTGATATAACTATTCTAGATATGTATGTAAGCTTCGTGAAAGCTCTTTCATGAATAAAAATGGAATCCGCATGTATTCCATTATGAGTCCGATCATTACGTTTTAATAATGATATCATCAATTCTCAAAGTTATAAATCTAATAATACCCCATCTCTCCAGATTCTTTCAGTAGATTGGTGTTTTGTTGAAATGTTCCAAATGACAGACATCGTTGAAATTAAACTGACATTCCCTTTTGTTTACATTTCCAGCCGTTGTCCCAACAACACCAAAATCAACTGAAAAGCCAACAACCGCAATGCCAACCACCATGCCAACAACCGCAATGCCGACCACCATGCCATCCACCATGCCAACAACCGCAATGCCAACCACCATGCCAATAACCGCAATGCCAACAACAGGTAATAGTGGTTTGTTTCTTTGTGAATCGTATTAGGAAATGTTATTACAGATAGGACAGAAGACAGAATTGAATTTATTCTTCTATAACACTGTTCTGCTTTTCAAGACATGTCTTTCTTTAACAATAAGGCTTAATTTGCTCTGATTGTCTTAGTCAAAACGAGAGGGGGGGGGGGTATATATGATAAGCCTGTTCCCTAATCCCATTCAGAATACCGATAAACACATGTACATATAGCATTTAAATTGAAAATTTTTACAGAAAAACCTTGTAAAAGGAATGTAGAAAACAGCAAGCATTTCCAGACCTACAACCTAACGTTTAACCAAACCTTGGACAACAAAATTGTAACGCCTGATCTGGATATCAAAATGCACGGAAACGTCCAAGTGGTGAAGGAAAACGAGTCCGCTGTTGTACATCTCCAAAGGAAAGAAGAATTTCTGGAATTGGACACTGACTGTATCATGTGTATGTCCGAACTGACATCGTGTACAAATGGCTTTACCATCCAAATAGCAGTACATTTCCACAGTGTGAATAAAACTACAATATTCGATAGTGGCATTAAAATGGGCATGTCCGGATTTTCTCTGGTTTACGAAGGTGGAAAGTTCACGGGTGTATTTCAGACTGGTTATAATAAGTGGCTGTTAAATACTGATTACACCATCCGTGAAGACCAGTTTTACACCATTCAACTATCATGGTCTCAAGAATATGGCCTGCGCTTTTTTATTAACAATTATAATTTGGTGAATTCAGTAAACCCCATAACTTTACCCATTTTGTATAATAATGCCACGCAAAACCTAATTATTGGTAAGGACTCGACATTGAGTATTAAAGATTTGGTGATATGGACAACTACTAGAGATATCTTGGTCCAAGAGCACATTTTACCAGGTAAGCTCGTATCTCAAAATCAAAGGATTCGTTTTACTGTGTCTCCTTAAGGATGTAGATCAATAGCCAAAATTTGAACATATGGCATACTTACTTAGTCAGAAAGTTTCAGCTCAAATTATTGAGCCAAGATAGTTTATAGGTGTTAAGTGACACTCACAGAGTTTGATAACCTAATATTCGTACGCATACAGGGGACACATAATGCGTCGGAATCAGTTATGTTCGTGTGTACATAAATATGAGGCTTCGTAAATTAAACAATGCCAAAGAGTAATATGTACTTTCTTTTTTATATAAGACGTGTTTGGTGATTCTGCTATTTTAGTTGCCGTACATTGATTCTTTTAATGTTAATGATGTTTTGATTCTTTGATGTTTTTATTACAAGAAATTTAATTTTACAGAAATACTAACAACCACTATTCCTACAACTCCAGGTAATGACTCCATTTATTAAGAAAATTTGATAGGTTCAAACTGCAGAAGTCTCAGAGTTCCTCCAACTAATATGATTTTCGTTCATTAAGTGTGGAAATGTTAATTTAATATACAATATGGGCTTAGGCATTTTCCCTCTATCTAGTTTTCAACTTTACAGTTCTAAGATCATAAAACATTCGACAGTGCAAGCGGTCTTCTACGAATAGCACAGTTCAATGTCATAGCATTCCGCCGGATTCTCGAAAACCTGGTAACGGGCGGTTACTGCCTTAACAATTTTAAAAGAAACGTTTTTCCATTGTAAACTCCATTTTAAACCAACGGAGGAGATAACTTATTAATACACTATTGACCGTCTTTGTTGCGCTAAAAAACTATTCAAGTTTTGCAGAACATATATGAAACCATATTTTTACGCTTTTCTATTGAATCTGCGCCCTATTGTTATGAAATCCCGAAAATACTTTTAAATAAAGTACAGTATTTTTATGTTGGCTGTTCTAATACGAATTAAAATAATTCACACGTGTCTGATTTAGATAATATCGATTGCTAAGTTCTGTTGGAGAAAATTAATGGGATATTGAACAAAATATGTATTGCCAGTGGTCTCCAAGATATGCTTTGCTTGCATAATGTGGCTACAATTATCGACCATTGTTTTATTTATATGCATTGGATGTTTAGTTGGTCTTGCAGGTGAAACAAAACGACGCGTGGTTTTTTTTTCATTTTCAGTCCCGACCACACCAATGCCGACTACTGCTAGAATAGAGCAAACAACAACGGAGATTTCTGGTATTACTGAATATGAGTGGACTTTTGCATCGATAACATCTAATAAATTAATTAATCACAATTTAGAGGTAAAGTCAATGGTATAATTATAGTAAAACCTTCTGGTGCATGTCTTGTAAACAAATTTCTATTCTTTGACACTTAGAAGTGGACACAAATGGGTCGTAACGCATATAAAAATGAAATATGAATGTATATAAACTGATTTACATCAAATAACGTCAAAATAGCATAAAATTCCGATCCTACGTTTATTTTGCAGATAGAAATTAAAGGTAATCTGACGTCAGATAAAGAAGGTGTTTATTTGACTACAAGTCAACAATATCTGGAAGTTTTTGAGCTATCAAAGTCGTGTACTGGAAATTTGGCACTCTGTTCACAAGGACTTACTTTTGAATTCGAAATCAAATTTTTCGAATTAATAGAAAATACAGTAATTATGACTACAGGGGGTGAAGATCCGAATAAACCAGGAGTAGCTGTTGTTTACAGATTTGGACAAATTCAGGTTTGCCCGAAATTATTGAACTTTTAGAATTTTTTAAATCTATATAAATTTCATTGCTAAATTATTGCTTGGATAAATCTTTGAACCCTTGGCAAAATTTTGGCCCTAAGACCCCTACTCTTTACATTCTTATTAATATTAATAAAATTATAAACTTTACTTATTCTCTAGCTGTGTTATTCGTTTTGTTCAGGTGGTGGTTACAACAATTACTAAAAGTTGGTATGCTACCATTCCTAATAACCGCGTTGGTTTGAAACAATGGCACAAGTTTCTTATTTCATGGACTCCAACTGGATATTTACAACTCTACCTTAACGATAAATACGTCACTTCCGTTAGTCATTATGTTAGTCACCTGGATATAACCACAACATATACCGGTACTCTGTATATCGGCCATTCTTTCTCTGCTAGCAAAGATGTCCATTCCATGAACTGCATAATACAGTCTTTCCATATTTGGCATTTGACAGTAGATATATTAATAGACTTTGGATTAGTGAATTGTCAAAAACGTAAGTATACTCATTTATTGTTACCTAATGAGATAGAATGCAAAAGTAAAAAAATATTGAGGTCAGAAAATATTAAAAGGGTAATTTTACTTTATCATTGATTGTAATACTGTGGACTTTTTGTAAAATGAAATATGAAGGAAACTCGCCGGGTGTCTTTTTTAAGTGTATGTTATTTCAAATCTATTGATTTCAGCTACAACACCTACCATTCCGACAACAACACCAATCCCGACAACAACAAGATCCCCAACAACCACTGTGGCTCCGACAAAAAGTACACAAAAGGCAACAACACCAAATGGATTTTGTCCAGCTGGCTGTATTAGTATAGGTGCGTGTATGAAGAAATTCTGCTGAACGAAACCATTAATACCCATACTAACATGTATACGCCATAAAGGATTCTTAGGGAATAATTCATAATTTCACTAATACGGTTGTAATCGATGATATGAGTATGTATATTCCTGTAGTAGTGCTTTGCTGCTATTATACTGATAATGCTTATAATTTGTTTTCCAGATCAAACGACTCCAAAACCAACAACAAGTACTCCAAAACCAGCAACCACTACTCAAAAACCCACAACAACCACTCCAAAGCCCACTACAACCACTCCAAAACCAACAACCACCACTCCAAAACCAACAACCACTCCAAAACCAACAACCACCAGGCCAAAACCAACAACCACAACTCCAAAACCGACAACCACACCAACCACTACTCCAACGCCGACATTGGGTATACCAACAATCAGCGGTTCGGTTACTTTAACACCGATTGTAGACGAGAAAGGAGAAGCCTATTTATCCTGTAAAGTGCAAGCTACCATCTCATCATCCAGTATACAGTTAAAATACTCCTATACGATCTTAGATAAAACCAAGAACTATCAAAAATCATTTATCAGTAATACATTTGAAAATCGTTTGTCAGCAAAAGATATTGATGAAAATATCTTGGGCAAAAAGGTAAAACAGATTATTTTTCATAATAGATGTAAATAAATTCTTCCCAGAATGTGATGGTTTTGATCAATATTCAGTTTGTTTGGAAGGGATATAAAAAATGTTGCCCTGTGTATAGAGAACCTGGTTTATCTCGCGGTCAGCATATTTTCTATCTAAGGCAGCTAATTGTTTAATTTATCTCGAACAGGGTTACTTCGAGAACATAACTTATCTCGAGTTATTGTTATATCGCCGACAATTAAAACATTATCATTTATACATCATCAAAAGTGATTGTAAAATAATTAACAATAATTCAAATTAGAGTGTACTTTGGAATGTTGTCTTTTCTATTTCATTGATAGTGTTTGTGTTTCAGGCATACTGTACAGTAACAGCCAGATATTTACCTAACGGTAGATGGTCGGAGGTTAACAAAAGCAATGTGTTTGTTGCTGTGATTGAGGTATGGAGCTTGTTTTGTGGATGTGTATTAAATTCATCTAATATTATGAATGGTCTACTTCATTTCTCAATATATTGAATTCGTTCTTCACCTCGGCAAGGGTTCAAGTATGATCGGTATTTTTCGAAGTGAATAGTTGTCTATATCGTTGTCTGTGTTCAACAGTCGACAGTTTAATCTACATGTAAAAACAAAACTGAAAAAATTATAGGAAACAAACTTACCTCCACATAAAATCTCGATATTGGTCTTCATTTAAAATTAAGGCATGTCTGTCTTCGTGTTCAACGGTCGACAGTTTAACCCAAGAACAAAATCAAAATTAGTAAACAAAACTGACTTCCACTTAATATTTCGAAATAGAAGTTTAATTGAAGTTAAAACAACACTTCATTCTGCCCAAGATGAAAGAGGTTTTGCTCGTAAAATTTCAAAGCAATTTATTAAAGTTGAATGTTATTTTTTTATTCAGTTGAAAACCACAACCACAGTCAAATTGATAGAAGGACAAAAGGCAGAACATATTGACATAAAGACTAACGTTCCACCACAGCTACTCTGTCCAACCGGCAACAAGGGACAATGCCACGTCCAACTCGTCGCCACCATCACCGCTAACAAAGAATGCAGATGTTCTGAAAATATAGTCTTCCCTCAGTTGGTTATTGGCTGGAAACCATCGCTAGGATATACCAAACCGTTCTGTGGCTCCTCTGTGACTGTTGGCAACTGGGAGAGTATGATACAGATACCTGTTAAAGCGACAGTCGATGGTCTGTATGATAAAGACATGTATCGATATGTTCATGTAGTAGCTGTAATAACTGGAAGTATAATCCACAAAACAGAAACTCATGACATTGGAAAAGTGAAGGTATATCATCTATTTATATTTTACAATTATAATCCATTTTATGACTTTGAAATCAATTTTTAATCAAGTATATGATATTTTACAATTGTAATCCGTTTTATAACTTTATCAATGTATATGATATTTTTACAATCATTATCCAAAATATGACTTTATGATCAATTTATATTATAATTTAAAGTCATAATCCGCTTTATGGCTTTGAAATCAATTCATGTCCCTCAATTAGTTTGTTTAATGGGTTATATAAAACTACAACATATTAAGTTGTTATCTGTGCGAAGAGTCAGAGAGAGAGAAAGAGATAGAGAGAGGTTTGGGGTTTAACGCCCACTCAATATAAACTATGTCATTTCGGAACTAACATATTGCACAATTTTATTTCAATAATTCGCCTGAGCACGAGGTTGGGAGGAAACTGAAGGCCCCGAAGAAAGTCCACGAGGTTGGACTGGCGATCCTACTCCTTGTCACGTACAAGCGGTGAATCGAAACAACGCCACTTGAGTCAATAACAGACTTTCTGATCCAATGCGCACGCGTTAACCATTCGGTCGCCCAACCATCTGCACTAAGAGAAGTGACGTCAGGTTTTTTAGAAGGACTATATGTTTGGTTTGTTTTATGTATTTAAACAGGTACAGATATACAATCGGGACTATAAAGCTACCTGTGCATCTGTAAATGATCCACATATTACATCATTCGATGGTCTGTAAGTAACCATTAGCTCAAATACTGTTAACGGTAACCGCCGTTACTTGGAAGGGCAAAGCTGGGGCGAAGTCCAAGATTAAGGGGGCAAAGGCACGAGCTTCAACTAGTGGTAGGAGACCTCCCCCCAGAAATATTTGAAAAACAGGCTGCCGGAAATGCAGCCTGGCAGTATTTCAGGCACTGATCGTTGAGATAAAGCGTCAAATGAACGGACCTCAACGAAACCCCACTCACGAGCGCCAAAGTAGGGAGTCCTTACGGGGGGTAAGTAGACTGCCGGAAATGCAGTCTGGCAGTATTTCAGGCACAGAGCTTACCAGATACCGCCTGTCGCCAAATCACTAGTTTATCCGACCAGAGAGGAAAGTGTCAAACGATCGGAGTGAGTGAATCAAAGTGAATGAATATTTTTGCCACGATATTTTGAAAAAGAAATAGACTGCCGGAAATGCAGCCTGACAGTATTTCAGACACTGGTTGTCGTCGAGATAAATAGAGCTGACCAGATACTGTTCGTCGCCAAATCACCAGCTTATCCGAACAGAGAGGGAGGTGTCAAACGAACGGAGTGAGTGTATCACTCAGATGAATACATATTCTCGCCGCGTTGAACCTATACCCAAAAACTCTGGGGATCGTAAAAAGCACTTCTCATGTGGTTCACATGTTATTGTTTATAGTAGGTTTATAGTGGCGCCGCCACTGGGTAAGAGAAACGCCTGTTTACCGATGTTCCGAAATTTTAACCACTGACAGATATCAGAAAATATATTCTACTGAGGGGTATCAGAAAATTGCAATTTATATATATGAGAGGGCAATACCGGTTCGTTGCTTTTATATTATCATGACCTCCAGAAGTAAAAGGCAGAATTTATCCGAAGAATAAAAGCGTTTGTGGAATCTAACGAGATACTTGGCTACATAATCTTGTATGTATTTTCTCCATCTTATTTTCAGGCATTATAATAATTTCCAGACAGGTGAATATATAATGTACCGACATAAAACTTTACCTTATGAGGTAAGTGTCACAAGCGAATTATTATAACGTACAATTATTATTCTCGTAGTATCTATGTATAGACCTGGAAGTTGTGTTTGCTCTTCGAACAACCAGTGCGATTTGAACAAAAATGACGGAGTTGTACTGAGCCGTTCGCAACAGCCAACAAGTGTTGGTTGGTTGTTTGTCGTCATGAATGTAGTTTATAATATACCTCCAAGGGTTGCATTCCTTGGGTCAAACAAATATGTTTACCCACTAAAGAAAACTTTAAATTCGGGAAATGATATTTTGTGTCCATGAATCGAATTCTCTCATCATCAAACTGCTGCGTCACTGATTACTAGTAAAATATTCAGAACAATTACTTTTTGATTGCTAATTACAGTGCATCTACAAAAAACCCAAATAAATGAATTGTTTTATTTCCAAGGTTCGAGCATATTATAAACCCTGTAGTTCAAGAAGACCTACCGGACCATCATGCAACTGTGGAGTAGCCGTCAGGTCTGGTGATGACGTCATAACATTAACCGGATGTGCAAGTGGATCATCCAGCTTATACCAAAAGCATCATGATAGAGGACGTGGTCGCCATCATAATACAGCCAATCCTATCACCATCAAGATGTTTAAAAATGGCCAACTGACACCTGGAACGCGTATCAGACGACTTGGTTGTGGACAAAAATACGAGGTTTTAACTTCAGTGCAATCACATATTAACAAAGTCAAAGGGCTACATACATCTAAGGGGACATAATACCAATGATGACATTTTCCCTTTTCTAGATGTGTTAATAATTACGTCATTACAATAGCATTAATTGGGAAAAACAGTCAAGCGCCTCATCAATTAAAATATCATAGAGGAAATTGGCAGGAGTGGGAGGGAAACGGAAAGCACTTTGGCCTGTTTTCTATCCAAACGTACAAACAACTTATTTTTAAAAAATGTCAATGATGCAGGACGGAGGGCCTGACAAGGACAGCTGTCTAGTCGTTCGGATGGGACGAAAAACCGAGGTCCCGTGTACACATTGGCGTGCCCGTAAAAGATCCATTGACAGTTGGAATTCGATATAAGCGTAGGTCGTAGAGCCGCTGTCCGGTCAAAATTTCCCTCATAGCACACTATATGGCGTATGCCCGTCTTCATTAGCCCGGTTCGAAGCAGAACAGTAGGTCGTTAAACCCCATTTCATTTCATTCATTTAATAAATGTGTATGATTATTTGGCATGCATTTTACTCATCAAACTTCTTCATTTAAAAGGAACACCAATTTGGTAGCAATACTTAGTGTCAAGCCATAGTCTTGCTACTCAAAAGATCACATTGATGTCCAAATATCACTGAATAATAGCTCTAGACTTATAGAAAACAATTTCACTATTTTGGTTTAGATTATACCAATGCATTGTAAGTCTTTCTTCAATTAGAGACATGTGGCCCGATGGCCGTTCTGCTCGTTAACTATTTTATACGTTTCTCCTATTTCTACGTGTAGGTGCTATTACCAACAGGAACCTACATTACAGTACAATCTAGTTATCTCTCATTTATCAATATATGGATTACGGCTTCTTCTATGGATTATAAACAGACTGAAGGTAACAATCTTATATTCCGTATTATGAGATTTCTACATATTATTGTGTGAATTCAGTTCAATCAAGTTCTGTTTTAATCCGATTGACTAAATTCACTGCTGAGTATTCGTCATCTATTTGGATGCCTTTCGGTTTCAATTTAGCTGAAAATATATTATTTCGTTTAGTTCTTGCTTCATGTCAACATGAACCCTGGTTCATGCAATAGAAAGTGCTAATAAAGTTGATTGTCATGGGCAGCAATTGTATTGTTCCTGATGATTCGATGTGTCTTCTTATCGATTGTTTTGTATTTAGAACCTCAGATCTCAAAGGAATAATATACCTTTAAATATACACTAATAATCTGTATGATTAAATCTGTATTACATTCTAACTTTATATTTTTATTCTAGGGTTATGTGGCGTATATAACAGAAATAAACGTGATGATCTAACAGATATATCTGGTCATGTGTATACTTCTAGTAGAGATATACTAAAATTCCTCTCAACTTGGAGGTAGCTATACTTTCATTCCACATATAGAATTTTATCAGTTGATTCGTGTCACTCAATTGTTGGCGGATCAGTCAATGTTCATGCTTTACCTTCCACAATCTACAATTATATCGTTTGGTAAAGAAACATGTCTCTGTGTATTAATCGTTTGTATTTCTTCGAAAAAAGTAGAAACGAGCTCTAAAGTTTTAATGTTTCAAAGGACCTTTCTCACTGTATTGACACCCGTTAGTTACTCAAAGATAAAAAGGTTAGCTCTTTTAATTGCGAATTGGGGAATTTCTTTTGGTCCGTGATGTTATGTATTGAGATTGTTCACGAAAACCATAAATCATGTGATTTATAAAGCTTGTATGAGTATTCGTGGCAAATTACAGATCAAGTGTAACTATATTTACTGGTGTGATGGCTATAACAGATTCCATAACGCAATCAAACGGAGCTATGTACTGTAGCTGTGTGATAGGTTATGACCAATACTGTACCACAAACATGGATATATTCAGATGTGACCATGAAGACAGTGAGTATAAAATATACTTTTTTGGTCTGTTGAATGTAAATGAGAACATGAAAAAAAGACAAGAAAGTACTAGCTAATTTTAGTTCTAGATAGATATATGCGTGTTCGAATTTTCTTAGGGGTTACCGCTCTATTGGTTTCCCCATCCCCTGCCCCAAATCCAATGCACGTCTTGGTGATTGTTATTTAGCGATAATTTAATCCACGACAGCGGTACTATCCATCGCGTGAGTATTGCGTATTTTGAAAAAAGTGGCGGTTGCGACGTGTGGTTCTGGCAGTAAGAGATAATGTCGTTGATGATCTCGCTTATTGAAGACCCGGTTATTGTTCCCCGGCAAAGTTTGTTTGAATCCTCTTAGAACATTACATCAATTTTGTAGAATGATCTTAACTGAAATTTGCTCTTTGTTCTTTTAGAATATGATATAACAGAATATATTGTTAAACAAGCCCAATTACCACATGTTGATAGACCAATAACTGGCAGACGTAGAAGAGCTTTACCAGACACAACAACTACCTTAGTAAGTCATAATAATAGTAATTTCTACAAATCGTTTTGACTTTAGCCTTGTATAAGCACAGTGACGAATTACGCAATTGGCTGGTCACCAATAGTCTAAACGTAACCTTATATTTCAAAGAGAGTCTTAGTGATGATCATCACATGTTATGACAAATGGAGAATCCACACAAACAGTAAACAATAACAGCCAATATTCAAATATGAGCATTGTATTGGTGTAATTTAGGTCCCAGAGATTGGAACCAACATGACATTAACAGAGGAAGAAGCTGAAGAAATATGTAATGAATATCTAAGCAACAGTACAGCTGTGTCATCATGTGAAAATATTACCCAAATCACTAACTATACCCAGAATATTGTTAACTGTATCTATGATCTACACGTAAGTTGTAAACCGATTCTACTAAATGCATAATAATAGCTTGCATAATCTCGGGTCTTCTTCGCCGCCCATTTTTTAAATGGAGGCCTCAAGAAACGAAACAAGAAGACTGGGTCACAACATCTCGTGCAGTTGTATACCAAATGTGTTTCCACGAAAGCACACCATTTGGGAACCTCGGCCTTTAAGTAGTGCTCGTATTATTCGGTTGACTTTCTTTCTTTAAAGGGACTATCCCGATTTCAAAAGAGTCTCAAAAATAAAAGTCGAAGTACGTATGAAATTTAAGCGCCAAAATATAGAAGAATGGTGTATTTAACTTCTCTCAAAATTCCAGCTCAAAATATTGAGTCGTTTGGACGTGAACGTCAAAACTGCTTATCCGTACACGTAACCCTTTTAAGATTTCGGGTCAGTTTTTTCGTTGGGTGACCTGATAACCGACCCCCGTTCCTTTAGAGGTCTATATAGTGAATGACCCATGTGCTGTACTTGACGAAGAAAGGTAAATTTTATCTACACATTATTATTATAAAATAAAAGTCTAGTTTTATGCAGATACCGCATAATACAGCTTAGGACACCAGTCTCCATTTCCAGATGAAGACTGACGGGTTTAAGTTGTTCGAAAACGTATCACAAATATTGAGTTAGTTTCTCGGCTCTTGGCTAGAGGAATTTAAAGGATTTTAACACAAAATTAAGCAGTTTTATTCTCCAAAAAATATCGGGATTAGCCCTTTAAGGTATGCCATAAATCCATTCATCCTCGGTATCCCCAGCGGTCTCATTTTGTTACACTATAATGGAGTAGAACGGAATGAGACCACTGGCCGGCACTGGGGATGTCGAACATGAAATCCATTACACTGCCCGTTAACGTTTGAACTGGAAACATGTAAATATTTCGGTAAACTAAATTACTTTTATAAAGAAATGCGTTTTTGTAATATTTTTAGGCAACTGGTGATGAAGGCTTTGCTACGTCACATATAGATGATATTGTAAACCAGTGTGTGGCTGTAGCTAAAGCTGATGCGGACCAATATACCAGGCCTAACCTGAATGAAACTACACCAACACAGAAAATACTAACTACTTTATGTCCTGAAAAATGTGGACAAAATGGCCATTGCGAAGCGGGTATTATACCAATTTTTTTTCTAATTAAATATTTCAAATAACAAGAGAGAGCGTAACATTGACCATGGAACCGAGTATTGGAATGTTACGTGTTATCAAAAATAATAAAAGTCTGCCAATCGACGCGCAGTTGTCCAAGGAACACGCATGCTAAGTTTCGTGTGGTTCGTACTTGAATTGGGCTTATTTCGAAGAGCATCGCTCTCCAAGAAGAAGAACAAGAAGATGAGTAGCGCTATACAAAAATATAGCTACCTGGAGTATACCGATTAGCGCTGCGATATGACCGATATCACTCTTGGTTACATGCAATTCAACGTGTTTTCTACTTTAGGAGGTTATTCATTCTTTGATGTTTACGCACTTGTCATCTGATTTGTAGTTTTCTTGTATTAAGAGCTTATTGTCTTTTCGTCGTAACTTACAGGAGTTTGTGTTTGTGATGATGGGTTCACTGGTGCAATGTGTGAAGTGGGAAAATCTACCAAACCAGAAATTATTCCAATATCTCCAGACAACGAACCATGTGATATAAATACTAGGAACTGTTCTGAAGTTGATATAATGGGAATTAACTTTGTGGAATCTGCTGATTTGTCTTGTCATTATCAGCCAGTCGTGGTAAGTGTAAAAAATACTGCACCAGATTGGGACTGTCTTCTTTTCAAAAGCAAGCTAAGTGTAAATTTTAACTTATTGTTATCAAGTACAATGTGTATACAATTTGTTAGTTCGTACCGAATATATAGTTGTTATCAAGCACAATGTGCAGTGTATACAATTTGTTCGTTCGTACCGAATATATAGATAGGAAATTGATTTATATACATATAATATTATCAGAACATCTCGCTAATATTGATAATTAAATAAAACCTCGCTAATTATGGCGACCAATTACTTAATTGACACATAAACAAACATTACTTACCTGGGACAAATAAATAATTTATCGGTCTAACCACTAAAGAGTTACATCTGTATAATTAATCTTTCAATGTTTACCAACATAATGTGTGTTCGCAAATCACTAAGGTTTGTGCACGATAATGTGTACCATAATGTGCAGAACATAGAAAGATGTCAGTGACCGTTTTTCAGATTTCCCCCCAGTTTATTAGAATGATGAGACCTCTTTGGTTTGGGTAAACGTTAAATTTATTGTGTTTTGTGTATTTTAAATTCCGGTTCCATAGACAGAACCAATTTGAAAATATAACAGAATTTATGTTCAACGGTCGACAGTTTAAACCAAAAATGAAAAAGAAATAAGTAAACAAATCTAGTTCCGATTAATGTACCGGAACGAAACTCTCATTGTATTGATCTTATTCCATCACATTTCGAAATAACACATTAGACCAACTCAATTTAACACGTTATTGTGATCTATGTTAAAGATGATACTGACGATTATTTCTGGGATTATGGGGCCCCTAAATGATGGGTATGTCATAACTTTAAACAGTTTAAGCTCTGATTCTTAATTAAAGATGCATTATGTAACATTTAGAGTTGGCCGTTCTTGCTGTAATAGTTCCGAAATATATAATTCAAAATTGATAACTACTCTTAGGTATTAAATACACAAAAATATAAAAGTTTTTGAAAAAAGAACAACCTGAAGCGCTTAATAAAATAAGCGAAGGTGCTAGTAATCAACAAATAATGTAGTTCTTGTTTCAAAAACTTTTATATTTTTGTATATACTGTATATTGAAAATTTCATTCAAATTACTTTATTCTGGGCGACGTTATCACTGTTTGATGTTTTATACATACATAGTTTATTATCGTAGCAACGTTATTTGTTATTCGAGACTCGGTCTCTCTTCTCCATGTTTGAATTAAATCATTAAATTGCGATCGTATTTCAATCCGTTTACATCTGCGCCATCCAATAGTCTGGAGAGTTCATTTATAAGTTAGTCATGCGAATAAATGATTACAGGTTTTGTCGTGTGTCATTATTATTGTAGGTCACAGATAAAATTGAAGTACGGGGTGCATCTTCTACAATGAAAGCTAATTTTATTAGTACATACCAGATTGGGTGTCCTTTACCTTACCCAGCATCTAGTGCTTATATAGGTATAAGTAATGATGGTCATACAGTTAGTGATGTTCGTTATCTACATCTAGTACATGATTCCAAGTGTTTTGAGTGTTTTATTGAGGATGTACAAAACGCCCACTGTAATCGCAAGGTAAATAATTATTTTTCAGTCTGGAATGAAATGAAATGAGATGGGGTTTAACTTCAGTGTTCATTTTTCAGAGAGGGGCGGGGTGGTTTAATTTAACGCCCGCTTCACACTAATTTGGTCATTTCAGGAATAACATAACTGTAATATATTTTAATAATTCGCTTACACGCAGGAGTCTTTAAAAGTACCTTGAGAACATCTACGGTGTTAGCCAGGGGACCCTACTACTTGCCAGTTACGAACTCGGAATCGAATCCTTGAGCTATAAGTAATACTTCTTAAACAACTAAAATTTAAACGGCATTTTATATTGTTCTTGTTTATATTATAGAAAGAGATTTGTTATATTGATGGAGTATGTCAAGCAGCTGGACAACTTAATCCTACACAAAAATGTCAGATATGTGATCCCGGTAAATCTCAACTGCTGTGGTCCTCTAATACAGGTACATGTATACTATTGTGCGTTTACTGTGGTCCTCTAATACAGGTATACTATTATATTTTCTATACTCTGATCCTCTGATACAGGTATACTATTGTATGTTCTACTCTGGTCCTCTTTTATCTTCTACCCACGTTTGGCGAGTGTTCTTAAACTACTATTTTGTTAGTACACACTCTTTAAAACCATTGGATTTTAGAGCCCTCTTTAAAGGAACAATCCCGATTTTAACAGTCTCAGAAATAAAAGTCCGTGTACGTAGGAAATTTAAGCGGCAAAATATAGAGGAACGATGTATTTACCGTGTCGCAAAATTTCAGCTCAAAATATTGAGTCGTTTGGACGTGAACGTCAAAGCCGCTTATCGGCACACGTAACCCTTTTAAGATTTCGGGTCAATTTTTTCGTAGGGTGACCTGATAATCTATTGCCTTCCTTTAGAGGTCTATACAGTGCATGGCCCACGTATTGTACGTGATAACGGAAAGTAAATTTCACCTATACCGTATAATACAGTTTGGGACCCCGGTCTCCATTCTCAGATGATGATTGACGGTAAAAGTTGTTTGAAAACGTATATTGAGTTAGTTGCTCGGACCAAAGGTAGGGGATTTTAAGGGCCTTTAACACAAAATTGAGCAGTATTATTCTCCAAAATATAATCGAGGTTGGCCCTTTAAACTTTGATTGAAAACAACTGTTTTATATAGACAGCTCTCTGTTGAATATTAAACATACATTATGCAAGAGCTAAATCTGCCTATTGCATGTCTTCCCTTAGGCTTGAAATGTTATATAAACTATTAATTAGACATTTATTAACAAAACAAGACCATAATCAACCCCCGATGGCATCGGATTCTAGAGATTTTAACTAGATTAGAACGTTTCGCCATTTAAAAATTTAATTTAAAAATGTACCAGTGCCCTGGTTACCACAATGCACACATCTTGTCAAAACTACAAACAGTGATAACTTGGCTCAGAATGAAGTAATTTGAATGAAATTTTCAATATTTTCATTTTACATTATCTATTTTTGAGCTATTATAACAAGAATGGTCAGCTCTTTATCTAAATCTTACATAGTGTGCCTTTAATATATAGTTTCATTGTTTCTTCCATAGATCCTGTTTGTGTGGCGCAGAGATTAAAATCACCCTCAACGGGTGATGATGATGCTGTACCTACTGAAGTTATAGCTCTTGCTGCTGCCTGTGGTGTATTAGGGTTTATACTGATTATTAGTTTTATCGTTATCTGTAAACAAAGGTAGGTCTAAGTGTTAGACTGTCGTGTAGAATGTTAATTTACATTACAAGTACCGTTATCCATCAGAAATAAGTTTTAATACACGTAGTGTTTCTTAATATTTATAAATATTGCCGTTATCTGAAAACAAAATATCATTGAAGATGTATGTTCACCCTCATCTCCATCATTTGAAATTATTTTTATCTGAAAATATACATTTTCCAACGACCAGACGAAATAAATAATATTTCTTCATTAGGCATGTAACAACAAGTAATATTGCAGCCATCTGAATATAGTGGCGAGACCAGTATTGAAAACCATAAATAGCGGATTTTTAAAACAGTTTAAATGGAGGGTAAAATTCAAATCACCCTGCCACTGCAACCTAGGGGTTTAAGAATTGGTGGTGGTAGCGCTGGCAGGGATAAATAGTTTTAATACACGTAGTGTTTCTGGCAGGGATAAATAGTTTCTTAAATTCCATTTCAGAGGTGCTGCTAACACCAAGAAAACTGAAACGGGTTCTTATGATTTGGGATCGAATAAAAAAGTATTTTACGATAACCCTGATTTCAAGGGATTGGAATCAGAGAGGTTGTGAGAAGATTATAATGGTTGTGATTAAAATGTTATGAATAAAAGAAATTACGTGTTTTGTTGAGTTCTTTAATGATATTGAGCTAGTGGCTCTGTATGTGACCGTGATCCAGGGTCACCAAGTGTTGTCGTCTTCAAATAGCCAACGAAATTTAAAACCAGTTGGTGACACACGTACGTTTAAGATTAAGTGGCATTATACACGTTCTTGTGTCACGATCTGGCTAAAAGTACATCTGGTTGTTCTTTGTTTATACTATTTGTCAGATAATGCATTCCAGTAAACCAAAGAAGAAATCATATGCTTAGTTTCATTTTGTCTATGGTGCAGACGGGGGACCTCGCAACAAACGTGTCATTAGTTCAAAGGTGTGAAAAACAGATATCCTGATGACCGATGGAATTCGACGAAAAATAGACCGAAACACCGCTGTCGATCAAAATTTTGCTCGCAGCACAATATGAATGGCGGGTGTCCGTCTTCATTAGCCCATGCAGTTGATGAAGAAAGGTTAAATAGTGTGGTATGGCATGTCATCAAAACAGCTCCCGTAGGATTTGTATGCTAAATTGATTTTTTTTTTGTTTTGCGTTGATTAGGGACAAAGCTATCCAAAAATGTCGGAGTTCAAATTTTCCGACCCCTTGACCCCTCGGGGGGGGGGGGGCTTTTTTGAAATCTGGATCCCTCTGAAGGGGGACCTGGCTATCTCCGCCAAAAATGGTTGAATCTTCATGATCTGAAGTTCAGTCTCGTGTTTTTTCATCACGTGGACGCCATCTATGATACAAGCGATTGGAAGTAGTTTTCATTGACTTCCGGTGAGGAATACCAATTTACGGTGTCAAACTCGGTTTGATTTCAGCCAATAATCTTTGGATTTTCATGATCTGAAGTTCATTCTGTTTTTTGTTGTTTTTTTTCATCATGCCGACACCATCTATAATAGACTTAAAGGGAATGGAAGTAGTTTCCATTGACTTCCGGTAGATAATACCAATTTCCGGTGGGAAATACCAGTTGATTTCAGCCAATAATCTTTGGATTTTCATGATCTGAAGTTCATTCTGGCTGGGGTTTTTTTCATCATGCCGACCCCATCTATGATATACTTAAAGCAAATGGAAGTAGTTTTTAGTGACTTCCGGTTGGAAATACCAATTTCCGGTGTCAAACTCGGCTCGATTTCAGCTTAGAGTAATGCAGTGCCACTTTTTGTGGCTTCCGAAGCATGATAAATGTTTCATGCAGTCAATTTTGGGTCATTGGAATGTTCTGTCATGAGATTCAAGACAAATCTGACGTTTGTGACAAGTAAATCAATTTGATATCAAAAACAAAAAGAAATCATAACAAATCAGAAGTCGCCAGAAACGAAAACAACGAAATTCCTATCTTGGAAATAAATACAACGCAGTCCACTACATCAGCGATGTATCATCCTCGTCCCCTTGCACATCCCTGATCATAATCATATTGGTACGCCCCCTATCAAAACCCTTGCACAAGGTCGACCATTATTCCGGAAACTGCACCGCCCCGTGCAACCTGTTTTACAACCACTTTCTGTTAGTTCAGTTAAAGCACGGGGGTCAGGCAGAGTAAGATTCTGCACATGAACATACATGCCTTTGTACAACTGCTTCTCTGGTGCTGACTGGAGAGGTAAATTTGTGGGCACCACAAAGAAAACACGGGTTAGTGCATACAGGAAGCTTGATGGCGATGGCCCTGTTACCATCTATTTCAAGGAGCTTAGAGAATGTCATCTCAACTTAGCTGGTTAATGGTGACTTGCCTTCTCAGGTCAAGGAATTGGAGAGATTTGGCTGCCAAGTCTATTCTTCATATGTTCCATTAAACCTACCAGCACTAAGATGGCAATTGTTCAGTTTAGAAAACTTGGGAGGGAGAGATGCGTACACCGGCTCGTGCTTCATAGTTGCCCCATATCACAGGAACGAAGTCGTACCTAACCAGATCCCTGAACCTTCCTGCTTTAACGAAAGCGGCTGGCAGTTCGACAAATGCATTTATGTTCCTGTGCCAAATCTTGATCTGCCTGCCCCTCGTTGTAAAACAGGCTGCACGGGGCGATGAAGTTGCCGCAAAAATGGCCTGCCTTATACATCTCCCTGCACGTGCTTTGGTAGGGACCGTACCAATATGATCATGGGTGAGCAGGAGGACGAGGATAATGAATAACTGATGTAGTGAACTGCATTGTATTTATTTTCAAGATAGGATCTTTTTGTTTCGTTTCTGGTGACTTCTTTTTCTGTTTGATATTAAACTTATTTACTTGTTACAAACTGAGTGACTGGAATGTTCTGTCATGAGATTCTAGACAGAACATTCCAGTCACTCAAAAGTGACAACATGAATCATTTTACCATGCTTCAAAAGCCACAAAAAGTGGTAGGCTGGGACACGAGGCACCGGAAACTGGTATTCTCCACCGGAATTCAATGAAAACTACTTCCATTTGCTTTAAGTGTATCATAGATGGGGTCGGCATGATGTTAAAACCCCAGAATGAACTTCAGATTATGAAAATCCAACCATTGTTGGCAGAGATGGCCATGGACTCGGTCAGAGGGGTCCGGTTTAAAATAGACTACTTGTCCGTGCATGTATATGCTGATAGTCGTATTATGCATGTTCATTTGGGTGTGGCTGGTGGGGGCGAATGGTTACCACGTGCGCGTTGTATCGTAAGGTTTGTCATTCGATTCCCCGGTTGTACGTGACAAGGAGTAGGGTTGCCTGTCCAATGTCGTGGTTTTTCTCTGGGTCCTCCGGTTTCCTCCCACTGCTAAAGACCCCCTACGCGAATTATTGAAATAAAATTGAACCATGTGTTAGTCCCGAAATTAGTTTGTGTCGAGTGGACGAAAACCCCCATCTCTCTCGCTCTCTCTCTCTCTTGGTGTGGCTGAAATGGAATAAATAACAATAACCAATCGTTGGTTTGCAGATTAACATGACAGTGAATGTCGCTGTGATTCACAACGGCTAGATGCTAGAATAGAATGAACTATAGGCTATAGTATACATTGTCCTATAACTGTCGAGGGTCGAGAGATCAGCACAATCTACTATTCCGCAAGGGGTGATTTTTCGTTGTTAGGTTTACTTTTGTTGAAATATAATACAACACTTCATAGGCGTATGTATTTCAATGTTTCTTTCTATTGGTTTCCTGATGGTAAACTATATTCGTATTTTCATCCTCCTATAATCAGGCTTAAGTCTATATCATTCAGATAAATATTTTACGAATCCGTACGTTGAGGACCTGGGGTTCTGGGTGTCCGATAGAAATGGTTCCACTACTGATGACTTCCCTCTTGCTCCAGCCACAGCTGTGGACCATCCTAAGGCCTTCCTTTCAGCAAGTTTTGTAGTCATTTGACTACAAAAAAAGTTACTGGCCTATAACTCCCTTATTTCCAATTACACTGACCCCAAACTGTACTGTACATTATAGCTTAACTATAATAAACCAATTCCCATTGAAATAAAGGTGAAACCCTTGCCGTATAATTATATGATTTAGTTAAACCCATCCGCTATGCGAAACTTCTGTTCATTTTAAAATTGCCGCCGAACCAGAATCACTTGATATATGTCACTCGAAAATACAGAAAAACCGTTCGGTAAGATAAGATTAAGATTTCGGTGTTCCACTCTTCACTATTTGTAACATAATTACTTATTTCCATACAAACTGTGATGATACCATTATTTGTTGAAAATTTTGCAATTGAACCTAATTTTACTTGCTCAAAGCCTCGAATAGTGTATCGATTGTAGCCGTCAATAGGAATTATCACAGCTACAAAAATATTGCAGCTAGGTGTCCGTCACTAAATACACTTACTTTCATGTCAAAACACTTTATTAAATATTAAATTAGCGATAACAGATTTATAGAAAAGTTTAAACCATTACCTAGTAGCACATTTGATTGTAGTACGAATGGTATTTAAGAGCGAACTCTTGTGAGTGAAAATTCAGAAACAGACAGAATCATTAGGCCTATCTAGGGTTTGGGGGGGGGGGGGGTATTTTTTGTTTGTATTTTTTTGCAAAGTTTAAACCCGAATCCATTTATGGTGTATACATTTGAATGTGGCTAAGACTAGTGTTCAAAAGTGAACACAAAATCAGCAAATGCCGTTTAATTAATATGTTTTGATGAAAAATTTAAACCACCATCCAATTACTGCAAACAAATGGCCCACATTTTATCACTTTTAACTTTTGGTCGGGGTTAAGAATAGGCCTATGTGAACTCTTTCGCAAGTAAAAATACAGAAACAGCGAAAAACTTATAATTATTTGATTTTTAATCCTTGATAACCCCTTGGGGTTCTGCATTGGAGAGCCTCGATTGTGCATGCCACAAGGCGGGTAGATGTTAAATAAACAATAAAATTGTTAACCTAACTATAGCCTAGAATAAGTGCATCCTCGGACTTTGCATAGTTCTAAAAAATAGAATGTATCATCTTTTGAAATAAAGATACATTATGGGAGATTAGATAAAGAGCTGACAGTTCTCACTATAATAGTTAGAAACTACAGTACATAATGTAAAGGCGATTTGCTGAAAATTTCAGTCGAATTGATCCACTATGAACGAGATTTTCGCGATTGAATTTTCGACCTAGCCTCGACCATCATTACTAAAGTCCGTCCGATAAAAAAACGTAGTCTCGATTATCCATTTCATGATTAAATTATGAATGGAAGTCGAACAGGAAATCGGAACCTAATCCAATAAACATCGCAGGCTAGCGATGCCATCGAGAGTTGATATATATGGTCTGGATAAGTTAATTAATGTCTAATTAATAATTTAGATAACATTTCAGTTCCTTAAAGAAAGACCAGCAATAGGCAGATTTAGCTCTTGCATAATGTATGTTTAATTCTTATTTTTAACTCAAAATATTTTTGTCTTAATTTTTGTTTTTAACTCAAAATATTTTTGTCTATCTAAAACAACCGAACTCCAAAATACTAACTCGCAAGGAAACTTATCGACCGAGACTAAAACTATTTTCATGGAGAGTGATCGCACCTAAATTATTTTTAGCTCAGACACCGGAAGTACAAATTTACCGCGATTGAGCGGAAATATTTTTGTTTTTTTCTGTGTTTATTTGTTTGTGATATTTATAAATATTCAACAGGATAATTCAGTTATTATCATGCCCAGACGTAAGGTTAGTAGTATCCATTAATATTTTCCTGACACCAATAAGTAATATCTATATTATTGTTGTTTTTAAAATCATGTACTAGCCAGGCCGAACACTCAGTCAAACGGGAAACAGCCAAGTATTTCTTTTTAGAATCCCGGTCAAACAATCCCCCCAAAATATTGCAGTAATAATCTTAGATATAATACCAATTCAAATACAGCAAATGGTGTTATCATTCAAAAAATTACAAAATATTTACTGCATTATGATTTTTATTCCCTTTCAATAGGTTCAGATAATTCAAGAATGTTGTAATGTATTCACTTCAAATACCGGGAAATATCTTTTTCTAAAAGACTGACATGCCTTATGTCTATATAAGTTCCAGTAGTAAGAAGCTAAATTTTAAAAAAAGAGACAATATTGAATCTATGACATTAACTACATTTACGCATATGAATGATATCATGCAACATCAAATTCAAAGTCTCCAGAAGATCTAGTTCATTCTCATATTCATTACACTCGCCCTGGACGTTCAGGGACTGTCCTATTGAATCCATGTCGATAATTTAATCGCTTCCCAGTCAATTTTACTGGGCAACTTTTTACCGCTAAACGGTCGCGTGTCAGTCCCTGTAAATTTCGTTTCATCTTATATGGCCAAGTTCGTAAATTTGTGCGTTACCCTTTCAATCATTAAATGAAGTCCGCCAAGTCGGTATTTTTTAACAGCGTGTTGTGTCGCTCATACTGGTTCTAGCGAGGTAAGCAAGATGTTCATTTATATTGTTCAGGCGTTCACAGGGAGGGACCGACAAGTGACCGTTTAGCAGTAAAAAGTTGCCCAGTAAAATTGACTGGGAAGCGATTAGATTATCGACAAGGATTCAATAGGACAGTCCCTGAACGTACAGGCCGAGTGTAATGAGACCTACGTTCAGAGATGAACTACACAATACCTTGAAAAAATAGTTCCTGATGATACATTATAACCTAGTTCAGCTCTGAAAATGTAGGTCTCATTACACTCTACCTATACGTTCAATTGGGGCCCAATTCTTTTTCGTCAAGGATTCAATAGGACGGTTCCTGAACTAATTACAACCATGATATATGATGACATCGCTACTGTAGACTGTAGTACTACATAACATACTAAAAGCTACTATTTCTACAGTACTGGTACCAGGCCATGAAATTTCACGCGAACGATACCATGGTTATGCAAATTGAAATATCGGCTACGTTAACAAATTTCATTAACAGATTTATTCACATTTGATCAGTTTTTATACAGGATGACTTGTGACACGGGTCTAAATTATTTGTATTATAGCACAAACTCCATTCATTCATTCTTGGCATTTCATTTCTCCATCTTACCAGTACTTTGACAGATCACATATTTTGACACCACGTAGGCTGTTGACCATTTGCAAGCACGTTGATTTAAAAATGCCCCTCACTCCTTATTCTTTAAATGATTAGTTATGCCATAAATTTTGAAAGCGTACCTTTGGATTTTCAAACACAAAATGAGAAATGAGTTTGACTATTTAACATGTCGGCTATATTTCCAAAGAATTTACTACACGTGTTCCTTTCAGTTTTCACTATAGCCATGCTGTAGTACCAATGACCCGTATGTATGTCGTCAACTTTGACCCCCTCCCCCCCCCCTACCCCCCCCCCCCGGCATCGCTCGAGTGATAATGTAAACGATTTTACTCTCCTGTCTATTTTAATATTATTTCATGACATCAAACTATTCTGTTTCCTTTTGAGACTTTGTGTATAGAGTGCTGAGGTTTATAATAAATACTGTTTGTCAATCAGTCGCTATACCTACATGTACATGTATGAGTGAGGCTATCTCATGCTACGTGCTTGATGAATGATTGCAAGTGACAAGTGTAATATAAAGTACGCATGTAGTCTTCAGTGACAGAAAACAATGTGGTAGCTACCATTCCTGGTTTTTGAAGGTCAGATATGATATAAAAACGAAAATCGATTAGTAATTTTTGGAACCGATTCCCCTCATTATTAAAATGTAGGGATTTAGTGAAGTGGAACATTTTTTTTCTAATGTTTTATTGTTTAAATGGGGACACCGTGGGATTAAAGTCATTAACAATTAACCTAATATACAATGTAATATTAAATATAAAAGAATAAAGTTAGTCAAGTTATTTCTTTAAAAAATACATTCACTGCAAGTGGAAATGAATAATAGCACCATTTAAATCTGGATAAAACATGAAAACAATGCAACCATTTTATGTAACCAATTGGTTACGCAATGGTCGTCTGGCGTAACCAAAGAAAATGGTTACGCAGAGCATAAACCCGCAACCATTTTTCTGGTTACGCCAAAATTTGAAATTTCGTGGCCTGCGGTACATAGTCTTCCATCCTAATATAAAACAGGCCAGAACAGCCGAGTCGCCATACAAAAGACACATAGAAATTAACTAATACTGTACGATAATGACGATTGCACAACCAAAATTGTTTATTTTTAAGATAAAAATTGCACCCCTAATGTACAAGGAAACTTATTCACATTGATGAATACATGTACATGTAATTCTTTGCAGGGGCGTAAATGAGTGTGTGTGGGGGGGGTAGCGAAAAGAATAGTCGGTCGCAAAAAAGATGCAGTCGGTCGCAAAATAAATGCAGTCGGTAGCAAAATAAGTGCAGTCAATCTAAAAATAAGTGCTCACTATATTAATACAAACAATGCCAAAATAGAAGGAAAAATCCCAAATTTTTGTGTATTTGCATGAATCCGTGCACCTAAATTGCATACATCATGCACTCACGCTTATCATGTTTGAAAAACTGTTTTTTTACCCTTATTCTGTTGTGAGTTGGTCTAAGTAAAAAAAAAATCACCCAGGGAGAAAACTAAATGCAATCGGTCACAAAATAAGTGCAGTCGATCTCAAAATAAGTGCTCACAGAATTAATACAAACAATGCCAGAATAGAAGGAAAAATCCCTAATTTTATGTATTTGCATGAATCCGTGCACCTAAATAGCATACGTCACGCTACTCACCCAAAACTTCAGTATAAAATAACCTTGTCAACTTATCATGTTTGAAAAAATGGTTTTTTATTTACCCTTATTCTGTTGTGAGTTGGTCTAAGTAAAAAATATTCACCCCAGGGAGAAAAATAGTCGGTCGCAAAATAAATGCAATCGGTCGCAAAGTAAGTGCAGTCAATCTCAAAATAAGTGCTCATTGAATTTTATACAAACAATGCCAAAATAGATGGAAAAATCCCAAATTTTAAGTATTTGCGTGAATCTGTGCACCTAAATTGCATACATTATGCTGCTCACCCAAAACTTTAGTATAAAATAATCTTGTCAAATCATGTTTGAAAAAAATATTTTTTTTACCCTTATTCTGTTGTGAGTTGGTCTAAGAAAAAAAAATTCCCCCAGGGAGAAAAATAGTCGGTCTCAAAATAAGTACGGTCACTGCAGTCGGTCTCAAAATTATGCATCAGCGACTGACGAAATAAATTAATGAGGTAAACAAATAACGCAGAATAGAAGGGAAAAACCTCAAATACTTAATATACATGTACATGTATGTGCACCTAAATTTCTTATGTCACATACATGTAGTCGGTCTCAAAATAAATGCTCTCTGCAGTCGTTCTCAGACTAAATGAAATAATGAAATAGAAAGGAAAATTTTTGTGTGAATTGCGTGCACCTAAATTGCAATGGTATAGTATAAAATAACCTAGTCAACTTTTCATGTTTGAAAAAAAAAAAATTCCCTGTTATGAGTATGTTGGTCTAAGAAATTGAGAGAGCTTTTGATCCCAGTAGAACTTAAAACGTATTTTACTCATGTTGTAAGTATTTTCTGACCATCAGAATTCTGCAAAACTTTTTCCCAGATCCCAAAGTCCAGTAAATGGCATTTCAGAGACCAAGTAAGCACTCCTGTGAGACAAAGTCCCTTCAGGCCCAGTCCCAAAAAATTAAAAGCTCAGTTACATAATCTAAATTGTTTTCGCGTCTACGACGCTCAATTCTATTGTATCATTATTCTTCAACTCCTCTGTCTTATACACTGTACACTCTCATCACTATCATATTCACAGTTACATTGAATCGCCCTGTTAGTAGTACCACTAGTGAGTGGGGCGACAGACTGTATTATTGTTATTTCTACTCTCTCAAAATAGGCGAAATTGATGGATGGGCCTCAAGATTCTGTCCCATTTCTTATCCTCTCGTTAAGGAGAATTTGATCCCATTTGTCATGACATTGACTATAATTTTTCAGACCCAGTCCCCAAAAATTAAAAGGTCAGTTACATATCTGACATTTTTTCGCGCCTGCGCTGCTAGATTCCATTATGGCATCATTCTTCCACTCCTCCTTGGTCTTATACTGCCCCAACACTGTCATATTCACGATTATAGTGAACTGCCCAGTTAGTAGTACCACTGGTGCGTGGGTACAAATGTTCTGACAACTCTGACAAAACAGGCGGAATTGACAGGGGCAGATTTCGAGATTCTGTCCCATTGATAGGGTGACCCATGCACTCTACAGAAATACAGTCCACCGCTGATAGTTTGAGACTACCACTGAAGCGTGCACATTCGCCGTGCCGAGACCAACTTTCTGACAGTATGATACTATAAATAGCCATGGCACGTGCAATTCTCTACAAATCTATCAACTATTACAGCCGTAAAAAATTTATTGTTGACGATTTTGAATAGCAGTAAAATTAAGCATCTTGGTTATTACAGCAGATTTAGAAATTACGTTCGTTTCATGTTTTAAATCGCTTTATCATTAACTGTACCGTTAAGAGCGGCATCTTTTGGTTTAGTACAAATAATATCTCTGAAACACTCGGGTTAGACAGGAACATGATACTAGCAGTAGTTTCATTTTACTTTTACAAGCTTCTTAAAACGATTGTTGAGCTACCTAACGTGCTTATTTCTAAATTCAATTTCTTGTTCTAGCTTTCTGTTATGTTTCGTAAAAAAGTAGTCTTGATTATCCCGACCTGTCAATCAGACGTAGAATGGTCGATAGGCTGGTTAAGCGAGACTAATTTCAAAACAAGGGCACGTAACCTATCTTTTACTCAAAAGTGTCTGGATGTTATGGACGACACTTGGAACCAGTTTTCAGTCTATTATTTATAGATGATTAATGGTCATAACTTATTAAGTACAACATGATCGTTTATTTAGTAACTATAATTGTGTGAAACTGATTTGAGGCTTGGCATATATATAAATATTGTGGCGTAATTGTCGAGATATATGGAGATATTTATTTATGGTGGGTCACCCTACCATTGACTCCTAGCAATGACCTCAAGTGCCCGGATATTGGTTCAATTTTTCAAATTTTCTCAGGTTGCTCAGTGTTATAGCCACTGCCCCTAAGGTTCACATAAATTTAATTACAAAATCAATTACAATCATCATATTATATGACAAATACTTTATGTCAACTGCTTTCCGACGAGATATCAATCGGCGAACAACTATAGGCAATACGATCTATGTTCTACCGAGACTCCCAGTGTTATAGCCAGTATTTTGTTGACATTCAGTTACTGGCCCCTAGAAAACTATCATCTGTGGTGCTCGGCCCCTGACTGCGTCACTCATATTATGGCCGTGCATCAGTCGGTCGCATTTTTGCTAAACACCCCCCCCCAAACAAAATCTTTATGTACGCCCCCTGATTCTTTGTCAAAGAGGTCTTACCACAGAGTATACAAGACAAGATTTTTGACAGTTGACTTCACAAAGAAAAAAACAGTACATGTTAGGGGTTGTTTTGCATTGACTTAACTATTTATCAAAAGTGAATTTTCTGTTTCACTGGAATATTAAACCTGCACACATAAGCTTACTATTTATTTTGGTACTGCAGAAATTTATAATTATATTTCTGTATTTTTTTAGAGAAAGATAACTGAAACTGCATCAGAAGAGAGTGATGTATCTGCTGTGGCTGCAGAAAGTGAAGATGAGAAGATTATTCGTGTAACTCGTCGTTCACATCTTACAGGTAAAACAAATAAACCGCATATACTGTACATGCAGATACCCTCTACCAGACGTGGTGAAAGTCGATTTCGTAACTTAATGCCAGAGGCTTAACAAAATGTTGTTATAATTCACTGTGCCTTTCGACTAAGGCTGTGTAATATTGTGACATGTTTTGCAATTTTTTTGTAAATCCATTGTCAGTATACCACAGAATTTTAATGAATGTGAAAATATACCGCATTCTGCAAACTGTACATGTAGGCCTATGTATTGTAATTATCTTTTTGAGGACAGTCATCATTCGAATAATTGGGTTTAATAGATATTACAATATAGTTATCAGCTACAATAATGAGGCCTATTTATTAGATCAGTACATGTATATGAATTAAAGGAGCTAAACCTCTACCACAATATGATTAATAATTTTCGAAATTAAAAACACAAATTAGAATTCAATATTGGTTCAATTCAATCAATATTGATTTTGTTACTGTGAAAATATTGGATCCTAATATCCAATAACTAAGACCCAATGCACATTTTAAAATCAGTACATGGACGTTGTATACCATGCTCTATGGAGATAGGACTAGGTAATGGTTTCGAGTGCCATTTGTAGTAAATAGAAAAACATCCCAAAAGACAATTCAAAAGTAATTTAATATGGCTGATTCACAAACGAAAGAATAATAACAAAATATTCTGTGTAGAATGGACTAAGCAGGCGCAAAAGATTGTCGTTGAATTTGGACTCTTTGGGTATTTTACTGAAGAAAATTGATTAGAAATTATAATTTAAAGTGAATGTAAATTACTTCATATACTCACATATTACATTATTTTGTATTTTTAGACAGACTTTTTAGTCATACTCTCTTTAAGCTTAAAATATTCTTTCTATTTCAGTGCAATCTCCAACTCGCTCACCACCTAAGAGAAGACATGAGCCAGTATCACATTCAGATTCAGACACTGATCACTCGACAAAAGAAGTTCCTGAGAAACAAACAAAAAAGGAACGGGTAACGCCAAAGAAAAGAGCCAATACACGGGCGTCTGATCGAGAGAATTTAGTCCAAGCAGCTAGTAATAATATCATTACAACAAATACTCAAAATGATGATGATAATATAGATCATCTTGACTGGGCATTAAATGAGAAACGATCTATTCCTCAAACTAATTATGATGAATCTTCAGCTCGATGTCCTCTACCAGGATGTGATTCTAAAGGTAAAATACTTTTAAAAAGAAGTATATGTAGCATTGTAAAACTTGGGTATAAGAAATGAAGAAAAAAGTATTATTTTACATGTAGGCTTAGGCTAAGAAGACTTTAGATAGGGTGACCCACCATAAATAAATATCTCCAAATATCTCGACAATTACGCCACAATATTTATATATGCCAAGCCTCAAATCAGTTTCACACAATTATAGTCACTAAATGAACGATCATGATGTACTTAATAAGCTATGACTATTTAATCATCTATAAATAATAGACTGAAACTGGTTCCAAGTGTCGTCCATAACATCCAGACACTTTTGAGTAAAAGATAGATTACGTGCCCTTGTTTTGAAATTAGTCTCGCTTAACTAAGGATGTAACGAGTCAAAAAAATTTGAACCGGTTAACTGATGGGCAAAAAACCGACCGTGACCGGTCAACCGATTCAATTTGTGTATAGTTAATTAATTGTCGGTAAGAGTTATTAATTGTCGGTACCGTACAAAACAACATTAAAGTTTACTTTTCACACTGTTTAACTTCATTTTAAATATAAATTATAAGGTCCTAAGTTATAAGAAGAGTTTATTTATTGCAGCTTATTTTCGATTTCATTCAAATTTCACCGAAAGAAACATTGACATGATGTACCGGTAATACAACGGTATGCTACCACGTGGTTGTCACTCGCCCCGATATCACATGATGCCGAACGTTGTGTGACTGACAGATCGGAAAAATAATTAGATATTTTTAGTGTTCAACCTGTTATGAATATAGGAATATTCTAAGGCCCCAACCTACCTCCATCTCAATGTGCAATATTGGAATGTAATCCAATAATATATTTAGTTCGGCGTCTTTATTCGCGCGCACGGCATTACGTTTATATTCATACGCAGTCAAAAGTGAATTTGTAGTCAAGATTACCCAGTCCGAACATACAACGCAAGACGTCGCTCTTTTCTGGGGAGTCTTAATAGATCACGCACACTTTACATTAGGTGAAAACATTATTATAGTATGCGTACAACTGGTGGGGAATCTAATGATTAATGGCGGGTATTATTAACTGTAGAGACAAATCACACCAAATCGAAACTATGTTTTTACGGACAGAGCATGGCAGACTCGCTTGTCATGATTCTTTGAATATAAAAAAAAATAATGACCCGCCCACTTTCTATAAAAATCGTAGTTGAAAAAAACCAAAGTGAACTACAGTAACAAATATGAATTTATTTAAATCGTAACACTAAAACAACAAATTCTAAAACGTTTTTTAAAACGATTAGTTATGACCACCAGATTAAACTCGAAGCACGTGAAAAAAAATTACAAATTATAGGCCTACTTAGCCTGTTAATAGATTTTATGTTCACGTTTAGTCTGTGTGGTATAGTCCTAAACTTATTGGAACAGTCAAAATTCGTGATTTTTATTCAAAAATAGCAACTTGTCCACATTCTCTGGTAACAAATTAGATCTGTGTTTAGTCACGGTTCTGCCTGCTGCACTAAACGTACGTTCGCTCGGGACAGATGTTGCGGGAATTGATAAATACTTGTATGCCAGCTTAGCAATATTGGGGAAATTTGATTCATTCAGGCGCCACCACTCTAAAGGGTCAGAAATTCGCACTAAGGCATTTTTAAATTCTGTTAGTTCTGATGCTATATTGTCAACGCCACTTGAGGAAGGGCCTATATCGCCCGTCAAATAATCAAAAACTCGACTCTTTTTCGCCACCGGTGCTAGATCATCAATCACTGTATTGTGTAATTGCGGGTCGGCAGGAGTACTATTGTCGGACTTATTTAATTCAGTTAAAAGAAGCTCAATTTTGTCCCAAATCAAAATTCTCTGGTTTTCTGCTAAAAATCTCAGAGATTTGTACCGTGGATCCAGGGCTGTTGAGAGCATTAATGGTGAAAGTAGACCAACGTCATTGGGAAGTCCATCCGTATTAATATCCAGTCGTTTGACAAGGCCATTTTTAATGACACTTTTTAACTCTAATACGAGATTTGAGTCACAATCATTACCAGGTAAATCGCGTTCAAAAAGACCAGCCAACAAGACATGTACACCGCTAGATGATGGTACTTTTTCTGTTGCCAAGATCTCCGTGGCGTCGGCTAACGGCTCCAGTATCGGTACCAAATCTTCAATTACTTTCCAAAACGAGTCCTTTAAATCAAGGGCAATACGATCTGATATTTTTGTAACAGAGTCGTCAAAAATTACTGAATACACGGGAATCCTTAATTTGAGAAGTCGCTCTAACATCATATACGTGGAATTCCAGCGCGTGGCAACGTCCTGGATTAGTTTTAGGGGATGATCACCCTGGGCCTTACGTAGCGCTTCTGTGGCTAAAACGGAATGGTTAAAATGGCTAACAAGTTTCCGGGCCGCACCGATGACCCTAGCAATAGCCTGCAGCTTTAACCCATCAGTTATTGCCAACTGTAAAGTGTGGGCGAAACACCCAGTGTGGGCGAGACCAGATTCTCTTGCCGCCACCTTCATATTTGCGGCATTATCGGTAACTAGGGAAACGACGCTTTTAATCTGAAATTCATTTATCAAATCTTTTATAACTTTAGAAATATTCATCCCTGTATGGTGGTCTTCTATAGCACGGGTAGCAAGCAAAGTATTACACATTTTCCACGAGTTTTCACAAATAAAATGTGCGGTTAAACTGATGTAACTAGTGTTAGTCAAACTGGTCCATGTCGGACGTAAGTGAAACATCGACATCTTTAATTTTATTTACAACATCTTTCTTTGTTTCTTCATATATAGATTCGATATGTTTACTTATTGTAGCCCTACATGGCATTTGAAAATCTGGATTCAGGGCAGCCGAATACTCTCGGAACCCCACCCCTTCTACAATACTAACGGGACGTATATCCCTAGCGCACATGAGCGCAAGCTTTTTATTTATATAATTAGTTCTTACTGGTAAGAGTTTTTTACTTGTGAAACAAGATATGCTAGGTTGTGTCGTCGAACTATTTATCTTACCGGCATCCGTAATATTTGTAGTACCGGTACCGATATTTATTGATTTATGATGGATATTTTTCAAATGATTCCGCATGGTTGACGTACCGCTAGAATAGGCCAATAGCGTTCCACATAATGTGCATTTTGTCTTCTTCTTGTTATCGGCTAATTCAAAATATTTCCACACTGGTGAACGGTTTTCGTCTTTTGTAGTAGCCATTATTCCCTTAAATTTATATTTATAAATATTGCTGTATTAAAAGCCTGTTTTGTTTTTATTAAAATACTACGAACGCTACTACAAAATTAATTCTTGTGTTTACCACACGTGACTGAACACGTGACCCCATCGAGCCAATGAAACGACAAAAAGATTATAGCATTTGGCCACGTGCAAGAGAGACGAAAGATACTTTGTTCACGGCATGATTTTTCTACTACGTTTTCGAGCAGTGAATACGGTCGTTTTATAACCGGGAAAGTTTTGTATCAACGTGCAATATGAACAAGCGAGTGTTGGTTAATGCTAGTGTACTACTAGTGGATATACCTGACATTTTATATAGAGCGAGTAACGGTCAAGGGAATATCGAACCGGTCACCTTGTCGAACCGAACCGTAACCGGTCAACCGAGTAACCGTTTACATCCTTACGCTTAACCAGTCTATCGACCATTCTACGTCTGATTGACAGGTCGGGATAAACAAGATTACTTTTTTACGAAACAACAGAAATCTAGAACAAGAAATTGAATTTAGAAATAAGCACTTTAGCCAACTCAACAATTGTTTTAAGAAACTTGTAAAAGTAAAATGAAACTACTGCTAGTATCATGTTCCTGCTAACGAAAGTGATTCAGAGATATTATTTGTACTAAACCAAAAGATGCCGCTCTTAACAGTACAGTTAATGATAAAGCAATTTAAAAAATAAAACAAACGTAATTTCTAAAGCTGCTGTAATAACCAAGAAGCTAAATTTTACTGCTATTCAAAATCGTCAACAATAGATTTTTTACGGCTGTAATAGTTGATATATTTGTAGAGAATTGCATGTGCCATGGCTATTTATCGACTCAAAGAGAGTCAGCCGTGTCGAGACCAACTTTCTGTAGACTGCACGGGTCACCCTACTTTAGAACATTTAATCAATGATAAGCTGTCATTAGCATTTAGAATACAGCCTAAAGAAAATGCTTTTGTATACAGTGTTGAAGATAACTTGCAACATATATATTTTCCGTGTTTATACAAATTTTCTAGGTTTTATCATTGACAGTTTAACTAAATTTAGAAACAATCAAAATATTGATACAATTTGTCATTTATTTCTGATAGTGTGTTAACTAGAGAAATATCTCTGAATGTAGGGATTTAGTTTAAGTCTAGGTCTGTACTGTTCCGCATACTTATATTGATTTTTTTTTTTTAAGGTCATTTAAGTGGACGCCATGATCGTCATCGAACTCTGACATCCTGTCCTCTATACCATAATACAACAGCTGATGAATGTCGGGTAAGATTTATAAACTTAATGATAAAAGCTAAAAAATAAATAAATGTAAAGGTTTTAAATGAGCAATGATACAGCATCATGTATTTAATAATTCAAATATGTTACCTTACTTTTATTTTGTAGAAGAAATTTGATGATCGTCAAAATAAAATGGAAGAAAGGAAAAAGATTGTAGCTGTTTTAAATGAAAGAAGAGATATGAGACGTCCAGTAAGTATTTTAGTGATGGATTAACTGTTTGAATCTTTCTAAATATATGCTTTTATTTGTTGAAGTTCTGTTATAAAAATAACCTTAACTCATGTTTATCAAAAGTTTTTTTGTTTGTGGTGCTTAGCTACAATATATCTGAATAAAATTCTTAGATACATCACAAACCTTATCATGTCATGGTTTTTAATAATAAACGAGCAAAATTTCTATTTGAGGGATGATTCACAACAGACTTAACTCCTTGATCAATCTTTTTAAGGTACTGAATGATGAACAGAAGAGTAGATTAGATCGGGTTAACTCAATCAGACGTAGACAACCAGAACTAACAGAAGATGTTAAAGAAAAGCACATAAAACATCGTCAAAAACATGGAACAACTAAAGAACCACTGATGAATGGATTAGCTTCAGATTATGATTTAGAGTTATTTAGAGAAGCGCAGGCTAAAGCTAGTGAGAGACTTGTAAGATTTACAGTTTATTTCTGTTCATCATCCAACAGTGACTTTTTATATGCTCACATTTAATGTGGATTTATTTTATTGTTACTGGAGACCATTGGTCCATCCAAAATTTCTCTTGTAAACATACAGGATACAGTTCTTGTTAGGCATTTTTCAGTTGGTCATAGAAAAAGCCCTTTTGAAATGCAATATAAGGTCTCAATTGTAATATTATACTCTTATATAACACTCTTATATTACTCTTTTAAGTTATATTTAATAATTTAATATAAACAATGTATGAATAATCCCTGATAATATACATAAAAATAGTGAAATTTATTTTACATACTTCAATCATTGAAGTTCAATGCCTTTAAGTTGTTCTAAATATCTTGACCACCTTCAATAGGACATTAAACCCCATTTCATTACTTTCTAATTGTTTTAAAAACAGAAATATTTACAACCTACTGTTGACTTTTTCAGGAACATGAAATGACACAGCATTATCAAAAATCAGATCTGCAGGAGTATAGAATTAAAAAATTAGAGATCGGTCGCTGGGAGGTAGAAACCTGGTATTCTTCCCCATATCCAGATGAGTATGCTCGTCTTACAAAGATTTATCTGTGTGAATTTTGTTTGAAATATATGAGAACGGCAACTATTCTCAGACGACACATGGTAAGGTTCTTGTTTAATTATCGTTATTAAATGATGCAGATACAGAATGATTTCTAAAGATAATTTGTCCAAACTGACAGTATCTACATGTAAATGGTGTTGAGAGAAAGTATTAAAGGGAGCTAACTCTATTTTGTCACCTTGACTTCATATTATCTCCCCTTAGACCACCAACTCGATTGATTGAATGTTTGCACTTATTAATTTCTTTATAACATTTAATTGTTCATATGTGTCAATCAATGTACAATGAGGTAAAGTTTATTACTATCCTGAAAATACTTATAGGCAAAGTGTGTATGGCGACATCCTCCTGGTGATGAAATATACAGAAAAAATAATATATCTGTGTTTGAAGTGGATGGAAAGAAAAATAAGGTATGTAAAATGTTGAAAGTTTCAACTATAGACGAATTGCCATTGGGGGCCACCATATTCGATTTAACATAGGTCAAAGGTCAATCGGAGGAAAACTGGCGAAAACACCATAGTCGCCCTGCTGACTTTATTATGTTTTCATAGAATTTTGACATGGTTATATACACTCTTAGCTCTTTTATATGTTACTTTTATATATTTTTATACGCCCACATTGAAATGTGGTCGTAAATTGTCGTCACCCCCGTCCGTCTGTCGGTCCGGCGTCCCCAACTGCTTGTGGACGCTCTAGAGGCCAAAGTTAATATCTGATTGACTTTAAATTTATACACAGTGTTTAAGGTCTTGAGACGAAGAAGCTTATTGATTTTCAGCGATTTCCGATAATTATTGCCAGAGTTATGGCCCTTGATCACTTTGAAAAATCTTGTGGATGCTCTAGAGGCCTAGGTTAATATCCGATTGACTTTAAATTTATACACAGTGTTTAAGGTCATGAGACGAAGAAGCCTATTGATTTTCAGTGATTTCTGATAATTACTGCCAGAGTTATGGCCCTTGATCACTTTGAAAAACCTTGTGGACGCTCTAGAGGCCAAAGTAAATGTCTGATTGACTTCAAATTTATACACAGTGTTTATGGTCATGAGACGAAGAAGCCTATTTATTTTCAGCGATTTCCGATAATTACTGCCAGAGTTATGGCCCTTGATCACTTTGCAAAATCTTGTGAACGCTCTAGAGGCCAAAGTTAATATCTGTAGACTTTAAATTGATACACAGTGTTTAAGGTCATGAGACGAAGAATCCTGTTGATTTTCAACGATTTCCGATAATTACTGCCAAAGTTATGGCCCTTGATCACTTTGTGACGCTCTAAAGGCTAAAGTTATCATCCGATTGACTTCAGATTGATACACAGAGTTTAAGATCTTGAGACGAACAAGTATATTGATTTTCAATGAATTTTTGTCTTGAACAGCTAAATCCATGATATTAAAAGTTTTGTATACAAAACGTTAGCATGTGGCAGAACTTTATAAAAACAAACAAATTCTAATGGTTTTCTGATAATTACTTCATGAGTTGTTGCTCTTAATCAGATTTTAGTGTATTACAAATGTTTCATTACCGAAAAAAGTAAAAATATGCGACGACTCTTGTTGACTGCCTGGACGATTTAACTGTTATGGGTGTATGTTTCGTTGCCTGGCAACCTATCTTTACTTATGACAGAGAATTGAACCATGTGTTTGTCCCAAAATGACCTAGTTTCTGTCGAGTGGATGTTAATCTCTCTCTCTCTCTCAAATGAAGACATAATTTGGAATTCAGGGGTTTCGGTTGCAAAATAACATAAATAAGGCCATATTGCAGAAGAAAAAAAAAACATTGACGCATATATATTAATATTTTATTATTATTTCACTATGTGTAAACCAAACTTTATGTATACCCGTCTGTTTTCTTATGTGAGGTAGGCTAGGCCTGGAAACAGGGCATTTCTTAACTTTGTCTTTCACATTCTTTGAATGTTATTTGTTTTAATGAACTGGAAATACACAGGTGACAATTCTGTGGTATTCCTAATTATTACGAAATGTCACTAATTAATAAACAGTAATTGTATTCCATTGTGACCTGTGCATTGCTTTGAAAGCAAAGTGGTATAGATACATGTAGATATCATTTTTGCTCCAATTGAACTTTGACCTCTGTAATTCAAGATGGCGGAACAGACATTAGCCTGTTAACCCTTTAGTCGCTATGATCACCAGCTTACTAAGCTTAAGCCTATTTCTAGGCTAAGAATGGGCTCATTCTTTAGACTAGTTAATCACTTCTAGATTAGTATTAATAAAACAAAGATGTATTGAAGTCAGAATTTTGTTTCTAAAATTGAGACATTGATATTGTATATTTCTGATGAAACATAATTTGATAATATTGTTCATGTCCTGATAAAATGATAATGAAAGTGTTTTTTTCCTCATTTATTTCAGGTTTACTGTCAAAATCTGTGTCTGTTAGCCAAGTTATTTTTAGATCATAAAACTTTATATTTTGATGTAGAACCATTTTTGTTTTATGTTATGACTGAAAATGAAAGTAGTGGTTGTCATATTGTGGGTTATTTTTCAAAGGTATATATTTTTAATTTTTAACTTGTTCACACTTATATCTGGAATCTGATATATAAAATATTGTTTCTGAGCTAGCATTAAATGTTGATAGATTATCTACACATAATTACATGTATACTGCTGTATGTCAACAACAGCTCTACAGAAAAATTGTCGACTTATTTTTTTTTATCCTCATTACACCATACATGTAACAGGAAGTGGGACTGAATAAGTTGTTACTAATAACATCTTTGTAATAAATTTATGTTTTATTAAAATCTGATGATATGCTTACGATTAATATGGTGTCATCTTTAGATATATATTATGAAAATTATATTGTAACACCGCTTTTGATATTTTGTCTAAAGCCCTATCATTCTATCAGATGAGCCATGTTAAACCTAATTGAATCACCTAATAATAGAAAATAATAGCCAAGTAAAGTATTGTTCATGGATTGTTTAAGCAGCATTTAGTAACTGCATGAGAATAACACATGGCACAGTTGTATGGAATACAAGTTACTTGAAAGATTTATTTCAGCGACTTTTCAACAAGGGTTCTCCTGTCTTTATCAAGCAAAGAAGTCTCGTTGAAACATCGCTGAAATAAATCCTGCAAGTAACTTGTTATTGTTCATGGCTTTTGCTGTACTCCTGGGGAAACTACCACTTGTTAATTGGTGTCAATATCTTGACATGGATTGGTAAATTGGACAGAAGTATACAAAAAGAGTTGGTAGATTTTAGTTAAATTTGGCATGCAATCTAATTTGTACAATGTGCATGTATTACTGAACTGTCAAGTCATCCGAAAAAAAAAAATACAATTTCTTGACCAGCTCGATTGCCAAGGCATAGAGTGGCTCTCATGATGAGTAAGCATACTTGTACATTTATGTATAAGCCAGAGGCATAAATTTTGTTCCCAAGACAACTGAATTAGCCAATTGGTTTTGTGCCAGAAAAAGTCCATAAGTGTTAGATCTCCTACTTACTTTAGATCTCATGTTAAAAAGAGAAAAGATTTCATAATGCTCAACATTTCAAATGACAGTTTAATTAACACTTAAACCAACCATATTACAAGAAAACTTTTGGAAACGGTGAAGTGAATAATATATATTTGGTTTTCAGGAAAAGAATTCATTTTTAAATTACAATGTGTCATGTATTTTAACTCTACCACAGTATATGAGACAGGGCTTTGGTAAAATGTTAATAGATTTTAGTAAGTATTTCCGAAGTTTTAAAGTTATATTTGTGATCTAAATTACATCATCTAGCCTACTATGTTATGCCTAGTGATTTGGGTGATCTTGTGAGAGCTCTAAATAAGGTGTGCTGAAGAGGCATTATGCGACATTATGACTACTTTTATCAGGTTTCAGACATCAGATGCAATCAAATTTGTATTAATTTTAATCGAAAAAAGACTTAATATAAGAAGAGAAAGCTCTGTATAAGTTCTATTGTCAAGCCTTTTAACACCAGTCTCAGAAAATTTTGGCTTGGTTAGTCATAGTAGCGTTTAACACAGATATACATGAAATTGTCTAATCCACTCAATATCAAAGTCATCTGATGGTCCAGAGAGTTCATTATGGAGCTTGTCATGTGAATAAATGTCTAAATAATAAGTTGTTTTACATTTGAAGCCAGAAAAACGTCCTGTAATGGGCATATTTAGCTATTGGCTCTTTAACAGAAGTTAATCAAGTTTTAATACCTATTGTTTGTAGGTTATTTGTTAAGTCAAGTTGAGCAGAAGATTGGTTCACCAGAAAGACCATTATCTGATCTGGGATTAATTACATATCGTAGTTACTGGAAGGATGTTCTACTTAATTATTTACATAAATATAAAGGGAATGAACTGTGTATAAAAGGTATTATTATGTATATTTTGTATATCCCCTCATTTTTAATACAGTATGGACGTATATTGTCGTTGCCCCTTTATGGATTGTGGCCAGTGATTTTACGAAAAGTCACATTTTTAGCATGTGAACCTTCACTGACCAGTTGTTAGGTAAATTTAAATCTTCATTGAATATAATAACGTGATAGAACACCGAATAAACCGAGAAACTGTCATTAATAATATATTTTCCTGATAGAATCTGCAATGCCAAATTCCAATGACACCTGACCTATCGGTTGGAATTAGGTCAATAAACCTGTTTTAAATAGCATTTACCATTACAATATTTTTATTTTATCAACATTCTTACAAAGGCTTAATTTTTAAAATATTGTCATTTTTATTGAAGGCTATATCATAATAGTACAGAATTTTTATTTTAAAGCAATTTCAATTATGGTTGTCACGTGACAACTGTGCCGTTTGTCTTTCATCGACTTTCGCAAGTTATGTGACTAGTTACATGATAGACACAAAACTACAAATTGTGTTATGAAGAAATGCCATGGTGCCGTATCAGCTTATTTTAGCTACTGCATTTTCTGATACTGGCAATAGTAGAAAAATGCTAATATTTTAGATCATCGACTTATGAAACATTAATCGTGTTTCATGGAATAAACAAAGACAGTAATTTATTCTGGAATATTACTGATGTGAACTTCAAGCTGGTACGTGTTTTAAATATGGAAAATTTTCCAAAAGTGTACCTGTCGTTATTTTTGTGGTAATAACATGCATTAAAATACGACATTCTCCATAATAAATTATTTTTGTTGAAGTCTAGTTATATTAAAGGGAATGTAAGCTTATAATTAACCGATTTCCTACGGGACCTCATTTAACCCAATTCTGGCGGGTTCGTTTCAAAATAGATTAAGAACCCTGCTTCTAGAGGTCAGAATTTTTATTTGATTTTAAAAGCCCTTCAAATATAACACCGTTACACCATAATTACGACTGAGCTTGAATTTCGTGAAAATTGGATGGAGACTGTCTGACAAAATGGGCGCCCCCCCCCCCCCTTTGCACAAATAGTATAACAAGCATGTAATACCAAGGTTGTGGACCCTCTAGAGATCAAAATTTTTATCTTCTTTTGATTAAACCTAAAATATTTAGTTCCCAAGAATCTCAGCTCCATTCCATTAATGGCAACTGCTTGAGTTACATTAAAAGATACCATATCCACATTCAATTATAAACAGTTTAGCTCAACACTCCTTGATATAGAAGATGATATTTGTAAGCAAAAAAAAAAAGAAAATTAAATATAGTAGGCAACTGAAGAAACTAGTTTCACTTGATTTTTTATAACAAGGTTTTGAGTTACAAAACTGACAATTACTTTAACTACATCTTGATTCTAATGATTAAAACCTCACTGTTGTCTAAATAAGAGATTTTGATATGCGGTATTAAAGATACATTATGGGAGATTCGATAACAAGTTGGCAGTTCTCACTATAATAGTTAAAAACTAGATAATGTAAAGGCAATTTGCTGAAAAGTTCATTCAAATTGATCCACTATGAACCGAGAACTAAGCGATTGAAATTTCCACCTAGCCTCGATCATCATTACTTAAGTCAGTACAATAAACAGGATAGTCTCGATTATCCATTTAATCGTTAAATCGTGAAGGAAAGTTATGCAGTAAATCGGCTCATAATCCACTAAAGATTACAGGCTAGTGATGCCATCTAGAGTTGATTATGGTCTGGATAGGTTAATTAATGTCTAATAATTTAGATAACATTTCAGGCCTAAAGAAAGACCTGCAATAGACAGATTTAGCTGTTGCATAATGTATCACTGTAACCCAGGTATCATTTAATCTTGTGTATCTAGCACTAATTTCTTTCACATTCATTTAATATGCAATCGTAAAAACTGTTTAACATAAATCATTTAATTTGTACTTGTGTCCAATTTAAAGCTGACCATTCAATTTTGATAATGAGTGTCTAATTTACAAGTGTTTGATTTCTCAATCACTGTTAAAAAATAAACAACCCAATTGATTAATGATGTATAATGATTAATTTTTGAACAGTGTTCAGGAAATTAAATACTTGTAAATTGGACACTCATTATCAAAATTAATCAGTCAGCTTTAAACTGGACACAAGTACAAATTAGATGATTTTTGGTGATTTTAAACGATTTTTACAAATTTTTAAACAAATATTTGATATTAAACGAATGTGAAAGAAATTAGTGCTAGATACACAAGATTAAATGATACCTGGGTTACAGTGTATGTTTAAGTAGAATTCTGAATTAATCTAGGAATGTTGTCCAAGTTAATCTATGCTGCATGTTGTTATGACCTGATACAATTCCCAAGAGATTTTAACTCACAATTTCTCTGCTCATATTACTGAGCCTGAAGTTAACCATACATTTTGTTTAAAGCTGAATCGATATATATTTGAATAATGCATAACATATGCACAGAAGATAAAATAAAAACAATAGAAATGATGCATTAACTGTTTTGATTAGTTGGCAAAACTATCTGAGGAAGCAATGGATTATAAGCTGATAAAGCTTGCATTAGGTAAACATTGTAAAAGATGATAAATCATTTAATGAGAATTGATTTTTGTTATTATTCCTACTTGACTAAATCACTTAATTTATAACTGTTCATAATTGTTTGGTAGTCTAGACCATAAAGATTTTACTACATGATTTTATTTTGTAGATGTTAGTCAAGAAACGGCTATAAATGCTAATGATATTGTTAGTACCCTTCAGGCACTTGGTATGCTCAAGTATTGGAAGGGAAAACATCTGGTATTAAGGCGAAAGGTAATTATTGAAAGCTGCTGTATCATATTTACTAGGGGTTGGTTTTGAAGCTGAAAATTGTATTGCAATATATTGTGATATTTCTTTTTTTTTTACTGACTGTAACACAATATGTGAAAGTTGTGTAATGCTGGCAAAATGAGTTACAGACAAAACAAGTGAAAATTCTAATTTTGATCGAAATTGAAATTTTCACAAAAATGAGGCTATAAATATACTATCTATCGACCCTAAAGATCGAAATATCAATAAAACATTTTAAAACACCTTTATTTAGACGTTTTGTAAGTGTACCG